GCAGCTCACCCACATCTCCCTGGGAGCAGGGGAGCACATCCGCAGCTCACCCAGGCACTGTGCCTGGGGCCACAGCAGCTCACCCACATCTTCCAGGGAGCAGGGGAGCACATCTGCAGCTCACCCAGGCAGCTCCTCTGTGCCTGGGACCACAATGGCTCCCGACAGTCTGCGTTCTCATGATGAAAAGGATGTGGGTGTGGACCATAGTGGCAAAAAGAAAAGATCTGGAGCACTGGGGTTCCTGTTGTAGGAGCTACTTACTGTCCACTAGTCCTCATCAGAGTCGGAGAGCATCCTTCAAAGGTTCAAGGGTGTGAAGGGAATGTCTGCCACTAAGGATGACCAGTGATATGAGCCACAGATAGAGTTATGTTGAATTGGGGACTCTAGTCTTGCCATGTCTTTGTTCCCACACTCAGATGCTTTCTCTCTTATTATTAGCTTTTTATTCAACTAGAACATAGAGTCGCATTATTAGCAGCCTGGAGGAGGGAGACAGGTTAGACGTTCTGGCCATTGTCGCTGCCCATGCCTGAGGTGCCACCGCCACTGTGTTGGGGCTGAAGATGATCCTTAGGATGGGGCTTCCCACCAGAAGCTAATTTTTATACTGTTCTTTGCCTGATTATCTTTACCCTTCTTTTATGCCTCTTCACTCTGCCCCTGAAAACGTATTATTATTACCCCACATTCAAAAATAGTATGTGCCACCAGGCCGGCGTGGCTCAGCGGTTGAGCATCAACCTAGGATCCAGGAGATCGAGGTTCGATTCCCAGTCAGGGCACATGCCCGAGTTGCAGGCTCGATCCCTAGTTGGGGACGTGCAGGAGGCGGCCGATCAATGACTCTCTCATCACTGATATTTCTCTCTCTCTCTCCCTCTCCCTTCCTCTCTTTGAAATCAATAAAGACATATTTAAAAAAAAAAAAAAAGTATGTGCCAATCTCAGAAGAGAAGGAATATGAGCTGAGCTTAAAGGCCAGCTGCCAAGTAGAATTGACGTTTGGTACTTAGAGTTTGGGGAAGTAAAACAACTTTTGGTTGAATAGTTGAATTAGTTAACATGAGTCAACTCTGAAAGGCCCACTATGATGAAGCAGTGACATTTTGCCACGGCTGTAATTTAATTGTGCTGTACCCTTTCGCAGCAGTTCATTGATCTGTGAAAATATTTGCTGCTTGGTTTAATTAATGTATGATGTTAGTTATTTGCAAAATGAATAACTCTATTTTCTAAATTTCAGGCTTGAGTTCATGGAACCTGCTTTCCTTGGGAAAGTAATCTTTTCAATGACATTGTTAGATGGTGGGCGTTTCTGATTGAGTTTAAAAGTAGCTCCATCCTAATGAAGCCACCAGTTTGATATTTCAGCTTCTGGAATGTCACATATAATCTCAAAGCACTTTGTAAAGCAGCAATTCAGTGCTTTTGGGAAGCCAGGCTGCAAATCAGTCTAATAATATTCATACTCTTTCATCGAAGTCCTCTTTGGGATCTATGATACTTTTGATTTTGGAGCTGTCCAAATTAGGGAGGAAATGCTTTGAGGTAGAGAATTCAGAATATTATTCGGGGGTTTCCTCAGCTCGAATTTGGAAATTACCTGAGGGATCAGGCCATTGTTTGTGTTAATTTGAAAGGATTTTTTATACAAGTCCCTTGAAATGAATACAGAATCATTTTTCTGGGTAAAATCTGTGTATTAAATTTTAAAATAATAGAACTATTTCTAAGGCTCCTATTTTTCTAAATAATAATTTCATATCACTATGTAAAAATGAATCACCACCTTTACAGCACTATGTAGTTTACAGTGTATTTTTTTACATGTATGATACCTTTTGAGCCTCAAGTGAAACCTTGTTATACAGATTGGGAAACGGATCCCAGAAAAGTGAAGTGAGGTGCTCAAGGTCACATTGCCAGGGACTAGACACAAACAGTCTTGTACTCCTGGCTGAGTTTTGCAAAGGCGCCAAAGTCAGTGCATGGAACATTTCAGAGGTCAGGTGAAGGTCTGCAGTATCCCAATGTAATTAACTCATTTCTGATGTCTCATGTATGTTTTAGCTTTCATACTCATATGCACTTTACATTCTTTTCTATTGCTTAATATTTTTTTATTTTAACATATAAAGAATATATAAATTACTTACGTTTGATTAAACCTGCTTTAAAAAACCCACCCTGTAAATCTCCTGGCTATAAATATTACTGGCCCCTGCCTTGTGCCTCTAGAGCAGTGGTTCTCAGTGGGCAAAAAGAGGGGACACTGGGGACATTTGAAAATGACTGGGGACATTTTTGATTGTCATGCTTGGGGAGTGTTATTGGTGTCCAGTGAGGAGAGGGCAGGGATACTGCATAATATCCTACAATACCCAGAGCAGCCCCTATAGTGAGTTGTCCTGTCCAAAATGTCAGTAGCACCGAGGAGGAGAAACCCTGTTCTGTAGGTGCATGTGCCACCTCTGAAGTGTCACAGGCCTATGGACTAAAGGACAAAAGCCCAGCATTTGCGAGCTATCTGATGGTGGCAGCTGACCCTCCCAGAGGGATCTTCCACTGCACTCTACCAGGGTGCCTGAGTCCCCAGCCTGGACTCCCGGGTCCCCTCAAATCATTGACTGTCGTGACTCATGCCTTCCTCCCTCCACCCTTGGGCTCTTCCCGTGCCCTTCCCCAGTCGTTTTCCTCTTTCTCCCCCATTTCCCCAACTCCTTATTGGCAATTTCCTGCTGGAATGCACCATCCCTGTCCTTCAGGTCCCAGTTCATTTCCTCTCCGCATCCTTCTGCAGCGTCTTCATGTACTTGTGTCTCCTGCTGGGCGGTCTGCTCCTGCTGCTGAGGGTGGTGGTTCTCGAGATGTGCTCCCTGGGCCCTCAGCAGCAATACCACCGTCCCCCGGGCCTTGTTCGAGGTGGAAATTCTGAGGCCCTGCCACATGCCTCCAGAATGGCAGACTCTGGGAGGGCAGCTCAGCAGTTTGCATTTTCATTAGCCCTCCGTGGGATTTAGTGGGTGTTGAAGTTGAGGACCACTGGTTTAGGGCATCTGTGTTTTGTTTGTAACGCTTTTCAAGGCATATAGTAGACGCTTGGTGTTGAGTGAACGACATGTTAAATCATGAGCCTAGAGGACTTGTGTAACTCGATGAGGCTGAGAAACTCTATTGCCCAAATATCATGAAAGGATCTAGACTTTTATACACAGAAAAAATGGGGGAGGCAGGAATCAATCAGAAATAGTCAAATAAGAAAGCCCTTTTTCTTGAAGGTGTTGGTTGTATTATTGGTTGTAGTTATTTCTTGACCCTGTTTGGACATTGTACTTGAGAAGTATGGACTCACCTTTAGGATATCTATTTGTGTTTAGATATTGGATGTTGAAAATGCTGAAAATTAACTTAGCTTCTGAAGAAGGTAAATTTGTAGGATACCAGAATGTGGTAGCAGGAGCCTGACAACTCTTTTCATGAGAGTTGTTTTCTGGGCTCTAATAAAATTGTGCTTCATAAATCACATGGGGAGAGCTGAACTCTGCAGTGATCTCAAAGTTTCCTGTAACGTGGTAAATAACACCTTCCATGTACTGTCAGCCGGTGGAGATTGCCATTCGGAAGTCATGATGATGTAACACACAGAGAACAAAGGAATTGAGATTTCGTGTTTCCCTGCTTTATTGTCCTGCAGAATATTCCTCTTCGTCCCTCCTCCTACAGGATTGATGAGGAACGGAATTTGCTGGGCATGGGATTTGTGTTAGGATGAGGTTTGGTTGTGCCATGCCTGTCCTGAAACCTGGAGTCCACAGGCTCTCTCTGTAACCCACCGTAAAAGTCACGCTTGGTCCTGTGGCATTTATTCCTTGGGAGGCGACAGCAGTGTTTGGAGCAAGCGGTAATAAAAGCTAATGTTTAGGGAGTCCTTTCTCTGTGCCGGGCACTACACAAAGGACTTTACAGGCATTATCTCATCTCATCCTTCAACTCATGTGCCGTCTAAAAGCTCCTACTAACCGCACCAGAAAGTATTTTCTACAGCTTTTCAGCTTCATGGTCCTTTGAAAGATGTGAAGATGTTTCCGATGTTTGGAGTCCAGCTCCTTTGGGGGATAAATATTTCAGCGCGAGATTAATATTCTCTTTCTCCGTATTTGAGCCCAAGTGGAGAGGGACAGAGATGGAGAAGTTAGCTGTCAGGCAAGACTCGAGGAGCTGAGTACAGCTGTGCTGCACAGCTGGCCATGGTCTCACTCTGGTCCTGTTGTGTCCCGGAGGCTTTCTCTCTTCCAGTCTTGGAATCACAGTTTTCCTTCCCTTTCTTTTTCTGTTTTATTACATTGGGGTGATGCATGGGGTGTTCTCCAACAGTTGACCTACCTGTGGCAGAGTGGCCTATGAATACTATTCTGGTTGAGACCAGAAGCTCTTCCGGGCACCTGAAGCCCTGGAACAGACAGGAAATAGGTCACAGGAGGAAGGAGCTTAGATATGAGTCAGGTGACAGTATTAGTTGTATGAGGACTGGACGGCCTTGAAGACCTTTCCCAGCCTGAACTTTTTTTATGAGATCTAAGTTTTGAGAGAGGTCCTCCTGAGAGTTACCATTAAGTACGTTGGCCAGTAGATGTCATTCGGATGTCATTCCTCAGATTCATTAAAGTCCTAGGATTTTAAGAGAAACAGGTGCAAGAGAGGAAAGATGAGGGGGATAAGGGCAGAGAGAGAGAGAGAGAAATTGAGACTGAGAGAGTCAGACGGTAAGGAATTAGGTGGGCCCTCTCTTTCTAGACTATTCATTGGTCTTTAGGAAACGCCTGAGGCGCATCTGCTGTGGCATTCCCCTCAGGAGTGCGCTTCTTCATGGTTATCCCACAGTCCCTCTGCGCCAGTGACCCCAGCAGCATCGGGCTGTGGCAGGGGCCTCCCAGGAACCCCTCTCCTCCTCGGTCCTCTTAGCATTTCGCAGAGGCCCGGGAGGGTGCAGGCAACGGTGGGTTGCATTGTCTGTAGAGAATTTCAAAACAGTAATAAAATGAAAAGTTGGTCTGCCTTTTTTTTTTTTAATTATCACCGTGCAAGGGCACATCTGAACAGTGTTAGTGACAAAAGGCTCCCCTCCACAGGGCGGACAGTCCCCACTTTGTCCCTCACGCCCCACATGGCCACTGCATTTTACCTTGGTCCCTCAGGGAGCAGAGAAGGATAGTCCTCTTGGAAATCTAATAGCTTTTTCTTTTTTTTCTTTCCTGTGCGTGTGTGTGTGCGCGTGTGTGTGCATGTGTGTGCACTTGTGTGTGTGTGTGCATGCGTGTGCGCTTGTGTGTCCAGGCAAGGAAACAGTTACTGTTCTTCCCGGAGCCTCTTACTTCTCCAGCGACGAGTCGTTCGCGATGATTAGAGGGTAGGTAATAAGGGGCCGCTCGCGGGTCGCGGGTCGCGGGTCGCGGTGTGGAAGGAGCTGAGTCATCGGCTGAGTGTGACAGCAGGGCTCTGAACATAGACACGTCCCCCAGCCAGAAAACCATCTTGGGCTTGCTGAGCTGCACCGAGATGTGAAATTATTCACACTGAACATTGGGAATTGGAGCCTCCAGCCTGCTGTTATTAAAAGAGCCCCCCAGATGGAATTTATATCTGTGTGCCAACTATCGTGAAATAAACATTTTTAAAAAGTTCTTGCTGAGGATCCTGACATTTCCCACAAAGTCTGTGTTCGTTTTCTAGCTAGTGTTTGCCTTCAAATCCAGCCGCAGCCTCCCTCCCTGAAGGAAACAGGCTCACTGTGTACACCTGTTTTAATTTGGTTTTTGGAAGCAGTATAAGCTATAATTTTTGAAAAGAACTTTTAATGGCTGTTTCTCTACATCAGCTTGAGCTGATGTATTTGGAAGTCAGGTGTTGGGTGGGGGAGAGCAAATGTATTTTGGGGAATACAGAATTGTTTATTTTTTTAATTGCTGGCAATTTCCAGCGAAGGGGACATAAAGCTGTGAAGTTTGCCTTTTAATTCCTCTTTTTCCTTCTCAGAGGACATGTGAATCTGACCATGCTGGGAGCCATGCAGGTTTCCAAGTACGGTGACCTGGCTAACTGGATGATACCTGTGAGTAGACCTTTCTCTTCTGAATTATGCTTGGGTCAGAATAATTGTATTTTTGAAACATCAAGAAAAATCTTGTCAACTGATGAACCAAAAAGACCCAAAGACACTGAAGCGTGCAACATAATGACATTTCAGAGGGAAGACGGTGTGGCTGGAAGAGATTAACCAATGAGTTTATATGCATGTATATATAGCCCATGGACAGACAATAGTGTGGGGAAGGCCCGCGGAGGGGATCAATGGAAAAAGGGGACATCTCTAATACTTTCAACAATAAAGATAAATTAAAAAAAAATCTCATCAAATTGCTATGAGAATACAATATGGGGAAAAAAGGGGACATCTCTAATACTTTCAACAATAAAGATAAATTTAAAAAAAATCCATCAAATTGCTATGAGAATACAATATAATTATTTTAAAAATAAAGAAGTATTTTAATGTGTTTTCTTATTTGAATCAAATTTTATCTAAGCAAACACTGAGAAATATTCAGCTTTGCCAGTTTAGTATGTAACTGGGACTAAAAATAGGCAAGATCAGAATTTGCCATAAAGAAACAGAGTGAAAGAAGATATTAAAAAATGGTGTAATTATATTCTGATAAAAGTAAGAAGTACAAATGTTTATCATAACTGTTTTTATAACTAGAAAGAACAGTGAACAAGCTTATGAATTTTATGTTAATTCTTTTATTTTCATATTTACAGTGAGTGATTAAAAGCCTCTCTTGATCGGTCTTGTGACCCCATAAGTAATTAATCACATTGTCTTTTATTATGGAAAACAAAACCTGTGATGCTCAAACACGCTTGTGAAATGCAAATGGTTTTCATTTACTAATGACCGAAATGAGAGGAGAAACCTATTGGAATTAGCTTTGGAGAAAGGACTGTGATGAGCTGATGTAGGAGTGTGGTTCCTTAGGCTCCGGTGGTCGCTTGCTGATACGCAAGTATGGAAACCACAGTGAGTGCAGGTTTGTGGTTCTGAGCTCCTTTTGGTTGGTAGCTCAGGTTCCTCTTGTGATGTGTATGTTTAAGGACTCCTGTGTGTTTCTCTGTAGCACCAGCTAAAAATTTGGGTTAGTAACTGAGGTTTGTGTTCTATGATTTGAGAGATTTTTTTGGGAAATCTCTTAGATTTTAGCGATTACAATATGTAACCAGGTTTGAGAACCAGTGTATTCAAGAATGATCATAATCCACATTTACAATGTAAGGGAAAATATGATTGACCCATTAATAGTAGGGACCCTTAGCAAATTATTGATAAATTATTGTTTTAGTTCTGTATCAGCTATGGTCATAAAAGGCTTTTGGAGGCTTCAAAGAGGTTCTCTTGAGCATCGGACAATGATTATGGACAGTTTATGGAAATACTTGTTTAGGAAATCAGAATGTATTTCCATTTTTAAATTTAGAAAAAGACCATATGGGTAGTAGAAGGAGCATAGAAAAGTATCCCCTGGGTTCTAGCCCTGACTCTACCAGTAATCAAGGTGTGACTTTGAACATATCACTTAAGTTCTTTGGGTTGAATCTTTATCTATAAACCGAGAGTCTGAGACTAGATCATTTCAGGGATCCTGTCCGGCTCTCATCTCTCCTCGCTTAGTGGTTAAAAGCAAAGGCTGGTATTGAGACCAACGTGGGTTAAAATCCTATTTTTGTCACTTGTTAACTGTGTAACTCGAAGCAGTTGCCTCTGTTTCCTCATCTATAAAATGAAAATGATATAATAGCACCTACTTTATAAGACTGTATACAGGAATAAATGATATAATGTATGCAAAGTACATATCATAGAGCTTGAACAAAGCACATGCTAAATAAGTGAGTTGTTATTTTTTGATAAATTTAGAGGAAGCATTGGGGATCCCTGGCAGAGAAGGGAATAGCATTGGTTAAATACATTTTTGCCTTCAGGGAACTTGGGCATCTTCAAAAAGTCAGTATAGGATTTGTTTATATTGTGGTTTAGCAGGCAGGAGGCTGGAGGCTCTCATAGCGACAGGACGCATATGTAGTTGTCATTTGTATAAGAGTTTACAACATGTATCACAGTTTTACATATCTTGTTGAGATTCCTGTGAATGATTAAACCATCAGTGATATTCCTTTATAATTTCCTTAATACATTCTTCCACGAATGAGTTTCCAAAGAACTGGACCTCTTCGGGTGGCAATTGGGGACTCTGGAGGAACATTGAGAAAAATTAAGCATAAAAAGTGTCCTTGTGTCTGGCTCCACTCTTTTGGTAATGGATGTTGTTAGTGTCATTTCTTTTATTTTCTTTTTTCCCCCTGAAACTTTTATGAGTTTATTTAAACCAAACTGATGATATGCCAGGAAGCAAGATCTCAAATGCTCCCTGTAGTGTCGCTTCTGACGAGCATTTCTTTTGTTCTCTTAGTAGCTGATAATTACTTCTTGGTTTCTTTATATGAGATACACAGTGTGTATATTTAATTCTTTTGGATGCAAGATAGTTTGAGAATCCAAGACCATAACCTTTAGTTTGGAAGAAATCTGATTTGAATTTCGGCTCTACCCCTTACAAATGATACAATCTGGAGTATATGTTATTGTTAGGGTTTAGTGAGGAAAAAATGCAAAGTGAACACTAAAAGCGTTCCATAAATAACGGCTATTAATTTCATCTTCAGTGCTCTATTGCTTAACGTTAAAGAGGGAATATTTACCTTAAAATACAGTGATGTAACAAGACTATATTTTACAGTAACTAGTACAACTCACTTAGACTAAGTTCATGTTCAAGTACCCAAAATTAAACTCTGAGGACAGACTTCCTGCTCTGAATGGGTTATGGGTAAGGTACAGTTTAGCCTCCTTGCATAGATTCAGTGAGCAGTCTGTTTGTCCCAAAGATTTATGTTGATTTATAAAATGTAGATATATTTTTATTGCAAGATCTGGCAGTCAAGAAGCCGAAAGTTCAGCTCGATTATATCATTTTTCATTTCCTTCTATCTTCTACTGGGTTTAATAATCTTCCAGTGGTTGTAAAGCCTTGAGTCTTTTGCATTGTGGCATCCCCATTAATCACTGCGATAGCAGATGCGTGATGTTTTAAGGCACGCAAATGGTGTGGATGCCCTGTCTTCTTCTTTAATAGCTCCTTAGTATGCAGCATAGGTCCCTTGCATGCAGATTTTAAAAAATTCTGCCCTGAGCATCTGATGAGAGAAAATTTAACAAAACAGCACTTGGCTTCTTCGGGTTCCCTGATTATCATGTTGATGGTAAAACCCAGGCAAGTTAGGAAAATGTAAAAAATGTGCAGACATAGGATCTACATTCAGAGCTGCTCTGGCTTTCCTAATCCCTGTTTTTGAAAAACAGCTGCCACGGATTATTGACTCGTAAAGGGAAGCAGATGTGTGTGATCAGGTGTGGGAGCTGGTTATTGAAGGAATGCAGCTGTGGCCCACGGGACAGGGCTGCTGTCCATGAGCCACACACAGTGACGGGCGTGCTCCTTCCATGCGGGGAGAACTGAAATGAAGGATTCTTAAGGCAAAGGAGAAAGGATGTTTTGGTGTTTGTTTTTCCCTTACATTTTTTATTTCTTTGTGCATTTCTAAAAAATTTTTTATTGATTTTTAGCGAGAGAGGAAGGGAGAGGGAGAGAGAGAGAAACATTGATGTGAAAGTAAAACATTGATTGTCTGCCTCCTGCACTTCCCCCATCGGGGATTAAGTCCGCAGATGGACCGTGCGCCCTGACTGGGAATTGAACCAGCAACCTTTCGGTGCACGGCATGATGCCCAACCCACTGAGCCACACTGGCCAGGGCCCTATGTGCATTTTAAAAGAATAAATACAAATGAATGTCATACTCATGTATGCTACATGTATGAGTGCACAAGATTGATTTGGATTCTAGATATGAAGTCTTTTTTGTCTTCTTACTTGTATAATTAAGAAGGTTTGTGTCCAAGATTCAGTCTAGGAGTTTTATTGCATCAATTATAGTCTAAATATTAAATTTGCAGATACAGATATAGAAATATAAAGATTATGGGATAAAGATATAAACATACAGATATATATATGGTTTTAACATTATTGGTGCCTGTTCATTTGGTCCTAATTCTGATGACACTACAAACCATAGGTAAGGAAAAATGACAGGTAGAAAATACGTATTTGATGGTCTGATCCTGTTACAGTTATTCCTTGATGCTTTTGCCATATCAGTGTAATGTAGGGAAAAACTTTGGAATTAGACCTGTGCTTAAATGCTGACTCTGTCACTTACTGGTGGTGTGGCAAGTTATTTCATCTCAGTATACTCATTTGTAAAATGATAATATTTAACTCATATGCTTTTTCTGTGAATTAAATTAGTTTTTTCATTCAACAAATGTTTATTAGGCACACATTAAAGGCCATGCACTGTTCTAGCCTTTGAAGATACAGCAGTTAACAAAACATTAAATTCTCCACATTTATGAAGCTAATATTCTAGTAGGGGTCAGCAGATATGGCCCATGTGTGAAATCTGGCCCACTGTCTATTTTTGTAAATAAAGTTTTATTGGAACACAGCCACATTTACGTATTACCCATAGCTGTTTTTGTGCCACAATAGTAATTGCAACAGAGACTATATGACCTGCAAAACCTAAAATATTTACCATTCAGCTCTTTACAAAAAAGTTTGCCAACTTTTGCCATAGATCATTGATTTGAAACCTTTCTTATTTTCTAATATAAGCTTGTAATGCTTTAAATTTCTCTGTAAGCATGTATTAGTGACATCCCACCAATTTTTATATGCCGTGTTTTCATTTTCATTCTCTTAAAAAATGTTTTCTAATTTCCCTTGTGAGTTTTTTATGACCTATTTGTTTTAGAAGTATGCCATTTAATTTCCAAATATTTGGTGGTTTTTCTACAAAACTCTGTGTTAATTTTTAGTTTAATTCTCTTGAGGTTGGAGGGCATACTTTATATGGTTTTCATTCTTTTAA